CCAAAAGATGCAAGGTAGAATGACTTCCAGTAGCAGCTTTCGCACTTTTAATATGAACATGTCGATTGAATTTCATTTTAAAAAAATACGAACAAAATCAGGAAGAAAGAAAACCAAAAGGGGGAAAAAAGACTGAATCAATGTTTTAATTATCACGTAACTCTTCATATCTTTGTTATACGTTACTTTCAATCAACGAAATTAAAGTAAGAAATGCCAAAAATCTACTAGTTCAATAGCACCCGACACTCCTTTAAATAATGTTTTAATTTAATTGAAAAGTATATAAATTTTTCATATTTCAAATTACTGAAATTTTTTTTAACCAGCAATGCTGCGATTTATTATAGATTTATTTTTTTATATTTATTTTAATTATTTAACCTAAATATACTTGCATTGCATTGGCATCTCATTTTTTTCCTGCTTTGTATTCCCTGCGAACATGGAAGCTAGTCTAGATTACCGATCGTCTGAAAAATGGAAGCCTGAAATATTTGCAGCTACTTCGAGTGTCGTCCTCCAATGAATCACCCAATCGTTGCTCCTTCCTATCCATTGCTCATGTTCTCTCATCGCTTCACTATATCAGCCCCTCTGATGACGAACCTCAGACGGGTCCACTTTATAGAATATGGGTATAACCACTTTGTTGCACGTAATGATTTGTGAAGCTTAAATTTTAATTATGATAAATATAGATGAGTTAACTATACCTATATTTAATTGTTATATATATATATATATATAGTAGTTAATTATGATTAGAGAACAAGTATTTTAAAATGTTTTTACTTATGATGTTTCATATTTCATTGAGATTTGGAAAAATAATTTGTGTACATCAAAGTTATTCTATACTATCATATTTTTCCTTATCTTGATTCTATATCTAAGAGTGTTCATAGTATTATCTTGCATAACTTGGATATATGCATATTGATACTTGGATTAACCATTTTGTTTATAATATATTATTTAAGGATGTCCAAATTGAAGATAAGAGTAAGTATGAAGAGGAACAAAGTTAAAATTATCATTTTCATGCTGCACTCATTATTAGAGAACATAAAGATAAAAAGAAGGATAATTCAAGAAGAGCTTAAGAAGAATGAAGACATTCATACAAGTTTAAATGCACCTTAGAAGCCTTAGACTTGATAAGTATAATATCATTAGGTTAGAAGTCTTTATGTTAAACTCATTGATTTAAATATGAAGTATTGACTCAAGGTATCTTAAATCAAAACATGCATTTTAGTTATTTAGAGAAAGAGTGAGATATAATTTTTTATAATCATGATTTGCATCTTTGATCATATATATCTCACGAGCTTTTAAATATTTTTATTACTAATTCCATAAAGTTTTCAAAGTTTCTCTATTCACTTAAAATGGAGTTAAGTTGAAAAATTTATAAACACTTGAAATCTAAGCCTTGAAAAGGAAATTATGGAAAAAATTAGTTTTGTCCTTTGGTCATGTTTTATGTCATATCTCACTAAAAAGATCATTTTAATGTAAAACATATCTTATTTGAAAATAGATTCAAATATATTTTTAATGATAGTTTATTTATTCAAATAGAGTTCTACTGAGAAAGATATGAACTTTAGAAGTTGAGTGTTAAGATATTGATTTTGCACAGCTTTTAGTTTTGACTTTCATATACTCTCTTGATCATATCTCAAAATATACATTAAATTTGAGTATGAAAATTATTTCATTGAAAACTAGACTTCAAGATATTTCCAACGGTATATAATTTGTCAAATTTAAAGTTGAATTGAGTGAGTTAAAATATTATGAAGTTTTGCACAGTGAAGTTGTAGAATCACGTGTGAGAGCAGCAGTCAACCACGCATGATTTAGCACCAGTGCAAAAACTTGCATGAGAGCACCTCTCAACCATGTGTGAAAATGCACTAGAAGCTTATTTTCACACTGAATAACTTCTAAATGCTCAATCACGCATGAAATAATCTATACACATGCGAGAAATGACCTCCAGAAGCCTTATTTTCACTGAATAAGTTCTATAAGCCAAATCATGTGTGAGGCACTTTCAAAAATTGTGTGATATGTCATTTTTGCTTGAGAAACATCCAAAACACATGTGAATTAGCACTTGACACTTACAAGAAAATGCATCAACGGCTATATTTATTGTGTAACGTCTCCAAATAATCATTTAATGTTTCTAACACTTATTTCACTTCTTAAACTATAAATTTAACACTCCAAACTGATCTTAACATGATATTAACCTCAAAAATCATTAAACTATGAAATTCATGATCATATTACTCTTATTTTATGAAAATCATTGTTCTTGAGCCAAGATCATCTATATCTTTATCTTTTGAGTATTAGAGCTTCATTGTACTTATCATTACTCTTAAAGAGAGTTTCAAGTGAGTAATTCAAATACATAAAACCTTTGTAAAGGTGAGGGAGAGATTTTTCTTGGAATCAAGAGAGATTGTTCTCTTAGGAAAAGAAGCTCACTAGTAAAATGAGTTGGTGTAAAGGCTTACAAGTACCTAAACTGATCTTGTGGATGTACTAAGGTGGCAAGCACCTACTCAAACTTGTGCTATAGTGAAGAAATCTCAAGTAGTTGCTTGAGGACTGGATGTAGGCTCAAAAGAAAGAGTTGAACTAAGATAAACCATTGTTTGCTATCTCTCTTCCTTTAACTCTTTACATTTCCAACAACCTTAGTTAATACTATGTTTTAGTGTATGAAATTGAATTTGATATTTCTATTTGCTCTTACTCAAACTTGCACTTAGAAATTGTTTCTAAACATTCATACACATATTAAACTGATGAAAACAACTTTGGCATTATTACACATATAGTTTAAAACTTAAATTTTCAAAACTCTTTTTTTTGAACATAGTTTTACTGAAAAGGATTTAAAAGAACTGAAATTTTGTCAAACACTCAATTTACTCCCTTCTTGAGTGTTTTGCCATATCTAACACACTTGACCCAGAGCTCTATGACATTTCGTTATTTTCATCAATTCTTCCAAACACTAGCTAGAAGAAGTGTAATTCTTAGCGAAAACTACAATCCCAATCCGCGATTCTTCAATTGCTTGTAGCAATGAGCGTGCAATCTCTTCTCCCCTTCCAAGCTGTGTAACGTCCATGAAAGTAAGGATTCCAGCCTGTGTTAGAGCGTGATTGAGTTGGGAAATTATGGTGTTATGAGTGTCTGCGCCTCTGAAACTCAAGAACACATGATAGAACCATCTTTGTTTTATAGGCGACGAACTAGAAGATGAAGCCATCATTTGAAGGAATTACAAGGGTAAATTTGAAATGACATACAATCGGAGAAGAAGAGATGGAAATGCGAGGGAAGAATGAAGGGGAGTTTTCTGGCTCATAGTTATTAGCATAGTTATTAGTCAAACCCGTTATATAGTCAATGGTGAGATGCATTATTTTAATATATTCCTTTGGTCTTTGAAAATTTGCAGTGGGGTGGTTGACTCAGCGGTAAATAATCCAACTACAAAAGATAAGATTTAAAAGGTAACAACGAGTTCAAATAACTTGCAGCATAGAAATGTATTAATTTTTTCCACTTTTGCATTACATAGATATATATATATATATATCTTTTTAATTGCAAGTAATTTATTGTTTCTCCATGAGAGTTATAACTTATTATTGTTGACTGCTTTGTGTGAGCAATTGTAGAGATTAGAGAACTGTGTGCGGGCCAGTGCTTTATTAACCATGTAATGAAAATCCAATGGATTGAAGCTCAAGCCCCTCAGCTTGGCATTTGTCTACACAAGTAAAAATCCGTGTGATTGAAGCATGTTTTTCCTTACTTCCCCCAAGTATCTCGTCCCCTGTTATGAGCAATAGCAAATGTTCATTTTTTTTATAATATTTGGTATCTATTTGACACAATCATCTTAAGGATGTGCCCTGGAAGATCTATATGCATTGTGGTTTAATGATAAGGCCTAGACGGCTAGACGAGCTATATGCATTGTGGTTGTCCTTTAGGAAAAGGCTCCAAAACAAGAATGTATAGAGACTCTTTATTATGTTTTAACGTCTAAAGCATCCAAGAGGGTTTCTTCACTTGCATGTTTTATGTCAACCACAAGAAAGTCAAGAAGGAGAATATATATTATCAAAGTAATCAAATGCAACTTGATTAGGATTAATTTGTGATTTATGTATAACTTTTTATTTCTGGTTAAGTTGGCCTATCATATTTACATTTATTGTGATCTGTTATTAAATTTAGATTGTATTTTCCTATTTTGTATTCGTTAGGAATTCATGTTCTTGTTACACACACACACACATGCATACATGCCTTCACCTCTTTCTTTCTTTCTGAACCTAAACTCCATTTATTCTATAAATATAAGCTAAATCTCAAAAATCTGGAGGCACTCAAATGGATAATAATGGGGATAATGCTAAGACATATGATGAAGTAGATACCAAAAAAAAAAGGAAGAGGGGAAAGAATATTGTTCAACGATTGGAACTTGTGCTTTAACTTATGTGCTATTGTGGCTTCCATGTCCATGTGTAGCATCATCATGGCCATTCAAGCTTCAACTAAGTTATGCAGAGCAAGGGGCTCGGCTAGTATGGCTAGTATTAATCAATAGAGTGTGGGATGCTAAGAAATTAGATGATGATAAAATGGCTTTATAGTCTATACATGCAAAGAGTGACCATAATTATTAATTCACCAATTTGTTTGTTACTAACAAACTTTATTTACATATTATGATTCTCACATCAATTGTTTATATATATATATATATACACACACATATATGTATATACACCTCTTCAGCCTTTAGTTGACGCATCATGTTACTGTTTTTGATCTGGTTAGCAAAGAAAGATCTCTTATTTTGTTACATTGGGGTTTTAAAGATATACGCTGGTGGCTCTCTTTCACCAATAGAACAAATTGTTATTCTCAGATGGCAAAGTGAAGAAATCTTAAAAAACAAATATGATCTTCAAAAGTCTGATTCACCCCTTTGACTCTTCAGACACAAACACACCATATTGTCCAACATACCATAACTTTCAACAACCACAATTACATGGGCAAGTGCCCAGGCTTTGATTCATATAGAAACAAACTATTGCAAATGTTATTTCAATAATCTACGAGGTTTGGAATCGTCAAAAATTAGGTATGCTGCAATCTTCTTCACAGGAAATTGAGGCCCAATACTAAAAACAAGTTCCACTAAATCATCAGGTTGAATATTTGAAATGATACTTTGACATTGTTCATCTTCATGGAAAGTTATCGAGTCTCCTTTATAATGTTGAACAGTAGCCTTCGTGTGGTTGATGATCAGAACACTTATGAGAAATTGATCAGGCATTGTGTTATCCATGCAAGAAGAATGCACAACATTGAGAAGCATCGCTTTTAAGCGACAACCTTTGACAAGAGGAACCTTAAAAATTACTGAGCATCCTTCACCCTTGTAGATGAACCAATTAGGATACTGATTGCCAGGTAGTTGAGAATCATCCCACCCACCATAACTCCATCCCTTTATATATAGCATCAACACAGGAATGAAGAGCTAGGTTAAATACTCGTACGGAGAATAATGTGGCCAGAAAAAGGAAGAAATTGTTGGCAGAAAGGAAAAACAAATCAAACGTCGCATACTCAATACATAAATTGGTACACATATTCATCATGCATGAACCATGCTAATCAAGATGCAGTAACTATAGTACTAAATGAAATATAAGTGTAAAAGGAAAGTTAAATTATGATGAGACATTTAACATGGTATTAGTTACTAAAATTGAAATCTTATGAGTAAAAAAAGCAGCAAAATGAAAAATAATTGAAGACTAATATATAAATTAACCTGCAGGTAGATGAATTAAAATCTCAACAAGGTAATGGCACTCAAATAAATAATATTACAAAAGCCACTAAAATAAATATTTTCACAATTGTATATTGCATGTAGTATTAATTTGAAGAAGCTACTCATCTAAATAGGAGTCTAGTAAAGCATGATGACTTCGTGGGTAAATGTCAAATAAACATGTTAGGAAATTAATTCTAATGAGGATGATTTTCTTGTTATTCCCATAAACATGGATGTTTAATAATCATTAACTAATACTCAACTGAACATCCATATAGGAAAAATAGATTATAACAATAGAAAATTAATAAACTATTCTTACGACACATATGGTTTTCCCTTTTAGCTTGATTCTGAAACAAAGTCTATTTGTGTAAATGGCTAGTACGCAGTGACCAAACGAAAGAAATCATATTAATATTTTTTTTGTATTTCACAAAGCTGAGAATGCTTTCAAACTTGGGTTTTAAACAATCAAGAAAGAGACAAACCTGCAGAATTTTATCTTTCAATAAGTCTACTTTGGTGCACAATCCCATTTGAACAAAAAGAGAGTTGAAGGAATCTGCTGAACTTGCAATAAACACTTGGACATGACCCTCAAATGATGATGCAGAGGCTTCCATATATGAGATCTGTGGTGTACGTGAAGTTGATTCCAATTCCATAAAATTTGTCTGATACAAGGCATCCAAAAGTCTAGCCATTTTTTCACTGAATTGAAACTGTGGTCGACATTCTTCCCACATGCCTCGAAGCTTTGCAAGATTGCCTAGAAATGGAGATAGGCCATGGAAGCTACCAATCTGTACAGCTGAGAAAAATAGAGATGATATGCCCTGCAAAAATGCTTCACTATGGGATTGGAAAATATTTGTGGGTGACATCCAAGACTGTATGAGAGAAGGAAATACATCTTGTGCTCTTCCTTCATACCCACACAAAGATACATATCCATGTACAAGCGCCTGCAATCTTGCTAATGACCTGGGTGCTTGTGTTATGGCAGTATTATCTGCCATTAAAACAGTCAAGGATTCCATTTGCTCAAAATCTTCTTCTAAATGGTCAATCAATGAACAACCAGAAAGAATAAGAGTTTTTAAAGATTTCAACTTGTAGATGCTTCTAGGAAGAAGCCTAAGGCACTTGCAGCCTTTTAGATTTACCACAAGAAGATTTTCCAGATCTCCAATACTATTGTGAACTAACATCAAGCTCGGACAATCTTTTAGTATCAACTTTTCAAGGTTTGGCAGTTTTGTAAATTCAGGAGTCTGTGTCAAATAAGAGGAATGGCTGAGATTGATTGTCTTCAACCTTTCTAGCAACTGTAAAAACATTAAAGTTTCGAATAAAAATATTAAAAATTCCATACTGGAAAAATTATATCTTCAATGATCTTGATCATCTTAATAAATAGTAAATAACAAATACACACACACACACATACACGTACCTGGGGCTCTTTCCAAACTCTTACGAGCCTACTGCATTTGAAGTCAATAGCAACTAAATTTTTTTGGTGAAAGTTGTTTGGAATGTATTTTAAAGGAAATCCACGCCAACAAAGCCACCTCAACTTTTTGGAAAGATGCTTATAATCTCCTTTAAGATTTACATAATCTAGTTGGAGTAATCTAAGTTTGTTCATTGCCTTAAATGCCTCGGAATCAATCAAACACTCTTTATATGTTCTTGGAAACTTCAGAGATATACCCTCAATAGCTTTCGTTCCCTATAAATGCAAGCATAATTTGATCTATGAGTGTGTATGCTGAGAGAAAACCAATACATAACATATAAAGAAAGTAATGCATCCCTTGACATCAAAACTTGCAAAACAGAAAAGAGCACGCCGAGAAAATTCTTACCGTATGTTCTCTTAACACTTCAAGTACATCTTCATGAATCCATAATCTGCTATATTCCTCTGGATCCTTAGGTGGGCTATCACGGATGATTTCTCTTCCCATATCCCGTAATAAATCATGCATTTCAAGCTTATTATTCCTACTAACTTTTATGAGGCTCCGATCTATGAGAATTTGTAGTCCATTTTCTGCATGAAGTCCACAACCATCTAATATCTGCGTTACATAGTTTCTGTCCCTATTGATAAAGAAGCAACATATGTCAAGGAAAATTTCCTTCTCTGTATAATCATCTAAACCATCAAAGCTTATTTTTAACTTTGCTTGAATATCTTTATGAGGAATCCTTTCGAGTTTGGACAATGCAGCCTTCCACTGTTGAATTGTTTTCTCACACAAATAAGAACCAATGACTTCAAGAGCAAGTGGAAGTCCTCCACAATAAGCAACTACACTTCTAGAGAGTTCCATAAATTCTTCAAAGGGAGCTTTTTTCTTGAAGGCATGCCAACTGAAAAGCTCAAGAGATTCACTTTCATCCATTTCTCTGACTTCATATTTGTAGTCAGCTTTAAGGACATTAAGCAGATGCATATCTCTAGTTGTGATGATTATTACACTCCTTGGACAAAACCATTCACGACTCTCACATAATGCGTTCAGTTGACAAATACTATCCACATCATCCAATACAACAAGTGCTTTTATGTGGGGAAATCTGTCTTGAATTATTTTTTTTCCCCTATCAATGTCACATATCTTGAAAACTTCTTTCCCAGTTATATCATAAATAAGTTGTTTTTGCAAAATAACGTGGCCATTATCTTGCTTTGAAATTTCTCTAATATTTTTCAGGAAACTTCTTTTAAAGTGGCGACCAATTTCATTGTAGATTGCTTTGGCAACGGTTGTTTTGCCAGCACCTCCCATTCCCCAGAGGCCTATGATAAGAACTTTTCGTGACCTCTTTTTTGACCATTCAATAGTCAAGTCATGAAGCCGTGATTCTATTCCTACTGGATGGTCAGCAATAATCAAATCTCCAGTGTTTAATTCTACAAGAACATCATCGACAATCCCTTTAATTACATAAGCTTCATCCCTGTCAATATTGAGTACCCGTAAAGAAAATGAGCATCTAAATGAATATTTCCACTGTCTCAATTTATAAAATACTTTTAGATAAAATTACACCTACTAATAAAGCTTATTAAATGCACTTTACAGTTTTACTTTTTTTAAAAAAATAAACTTTAAAAAATAACTTTCATTTAACACTCCATTTGTGACAGAATATTAAAAAAAAAGAGAATATATGTGAATGGTAATATTGAAAAAGTATAATTAATGAAAGCTTATTTTTATACAAGTTTTCTATATTTTCGGATGTCAAATCTCTCCCAAAAGTGTCTTATAATTTGAGAGAAAGAGTATCATAAAATGTGACGAATAGCACTATTTATTTAAAATAATAATAAATTTCAGTGGATCATCCCTTACCAAACAATAAAAATTTCAGTGGACCATTAAGAATATGAAATGGACTAATTTGGCTATCGATTCATAGGAAAACTTTGAAGTATTGAGTGTGGGATGAAAATAATAACTTCAATATTTAAGGGCACATCAGTTATTTATTTAACTACAAACTACAACACAAACGACACCAAATTTATAACCATGGAAGTTAAGCGTGTTTGCATCGGGGGTTGTGAGAGTTTGTGGTGATCAGCTCACTGATTGGATGGTGGTAAAATCTTGGATAGATATAAGAGACTAGGCATTGCTGGAATTGAATAGAAGGGTTCAAAGTGGCAACGGCACATCTTTGGTGTGATTTTCTGGGGTAAAACTAGAATTGTCGGTTATTGTCGGCCTAGAAGATTTGAAATGTTTGGCTTACTTGCATAAAATACAAAATCATTCCCCTGTTGTTGATCGACCTGCTAATACCATGAAGAGACAGAGGATGCAAACTCGAGGATTCTATTTAGAGGTGTACAGTGGATACAAATAGCTACTGGGATGCGACAATCGGTATAATATTCTAGATACTAGCCGAGAAATAAGGAGGTTAGTCACTTAGGATAAAGGTGTAACATGAAATACAATTGTAATATTGTAAACTATAAATATAGGATCAAGTATCGAATCCAAACTATTATATCATTTGTTTGTCACTTGGGAGTCTCATATATCTCACAATGATTTGCCTAGATATTTTTCATGTTGTTGATATTGTCAGTCAATTTTTGTTAGCTCCTCTAACCACCCTTTATGCAGCCATCTGTTAAAGGTCTCATCATGGCCTTCATTTCTCTACAAGTTTATCTCTTGTTCTATGGGACTACTCTTACGTCGATTAGGGAGGTGACCATACTAATTGTGGTCTACTAGTTTTGCATATTCTTCGGTGACTCTCTCATCTCATGTTGAAATAAGAAACTCAATATCTTTTTCATTCTCTCTTATCTTCAATTTGCTTTGGCCTTGTTGGTTATTATGTCCATGATAGTAAGAGTTTCACACAAATTGCTTACACTGATGTGTTTTATGAGTGAACTAAATATATTGAGATTGATTATCATTTACTCAATAGTATCGTTATCGGCACTCTCCAACTATTTCCCATTCTCATAGCTGAGCAGCTGGGCTTAATCATAAAGTCACTTAACCTAGGCCAATTTGAGATCTTAGTGAAAAAACTCAAGATGGTTTTCATTCTCTCTTATTTTGAATTTGAGGGCTGTTAATTGTAAATAAGATTTGGACATACAATTTGCCCCGACCTTATTTTGTATTTGTTAGGATATATTGTTTTTCTTGTATACAAACCTGTATTGGATAAATAAAAGTAGGAACGTACAAGGCCCCAGCCAAGCATAGTTCAGGTCAATTTGGTACATTGTTCAAGTAGGGCTTAGCCCAACCCAAATTTAAAAAAAAAAATAAAAATCTTTTTTATCAACAAAATATAATTATTTTTGTTTAACATATTTTTTCTACAAAATTGATGTTACAATGAAAAGTAATAATTTTTAAAATTATATATATTTGAAAATTAGGAAAAATTAATCTCTCAATCCTTCAACTTTTAATTTACTTGTAACTCATTCCATCAATTATGACTCGCTGTGACTCAATCCTTCAACTTTTAACTCATTGATAACTCATTCCTTATTTTTTAATTTTTTTTAAAATTATCTTTATCAAATAAGAGGTATAAAAGAAATGTTTATATTTTATTTTAAAATACCCCCTCTTACCCTTTGATGTAAAATCTAAGTTAATATGAAAAAAAAAACTAACAAAAGTTAAGAAAATGAGTCATAGACGAGTCAAAGGTTAAAGGATTGAGTCATAAGCGAGACAAAAGTTGAGAGACTGAATTGCAGCAAGTCATAATTGAGGGATTGAGTTATGAATGGGTTAAAAATTGAAGAACTAAAAGACTAGTTTTCCCTAAAATTTATTCATATTTTTACATATAACTATGTTCAAAAATTATTTAAAAATATTTAAAATGACTAAAAAATTATAATAATAAAATATCAATGATAATCATAAAAACAAGGTATATTCCAAAACATGCTAAGAAATATGATATTATAAAATAATTAATTTTAACAAAAAAGGAAAAATGATAATAAAATTTTTCAGAATTATATAAATGACAATCTAAGCTATCGAAATGCCATATTTTTTTTAGGAACTTCTTTGTCAGTAAATTTTAAAGTAAAAAAATTATTTTACCTTAATTAAAAATAACATACCCCAATCATAACTTTTGTTCAAGGAATAACAATTTTTATTTTGTGAATAACAGGAATTGAACAATAAATTACAATTTTTCAAATGTAATTTCTGTCTCAAAATAACAGGCCATAATTACAAATTTTGTTCAAGGAATAACAATTTTTATTCTATAGATCACAGGAGTTAAATAAAAAATCACAACTTATTAAATATAGTTTTTGTTATTAAAAAATAAGTTCTCAAATAAGAACCCCCAATTACAACTTCTGTTTAAAAATAATAATTTTTATTCAAAAATCACAAAAATTAAATAAGAAATCATAACTAAAATTATTTTTTTAATTTAAAATTTATTGACACAGAAGTCCTTAAAAATTTTAATAAAATTATGATATTTTAAAAAATTATATTTTTATTTATATAATTTAAGAAAACCTGATTATAATTTTAAAAAAAAAAAAAGATATGATCAGGCGAGCAGTCCCCAAGCGCACCCAAAATGGTTGAGCAGGGCATTTCAGGCCTCTCGCACAGCGTTAAATAAAAGTATTCCCAGTCTTTTTCTCTCTTTTTGTGCGCCTTTCTAGAATATTATTTTCCTTTTTTTTATTGTTTTTATTATTCATATGTATGTTCAGGTAATCTTATTTGAGTAATTTTATTTGAGTCATAATCGCGTACATTACGAGAGATTGACCATTTCCACTAAATCCAGTCTAGTAGAAAATTAATTCTTTAAGCGTAGTTATTTCTTTTAATATTGCTTCATTATGTTTGTTGAAAATAAAGCAGGATGAGAAAGGGCAATCAACCAACACAACAGCAATACTTCTCTAGTGACAAAGTGTTAAAGTAAAGTAAATTTTATTTTTTATGTTACCAATTCTATTTCAAAGAAAAATGAGAGGAGGCTTGGTAATATATTACCGAAAAGCTGAATCGAAGCCGGAAGTATTCGCAACCGCTTCGAGTGCCTTCCGCCACTGCGACACCCGATCGCTCCCCTTCCCAACTTATGCTCGTGTTTTTCTATCGCCTCACCATATGAGCCTCTCTGATGACGAACGTCTGACGGATCGACGCCATGGAATACGGGCATAACCCGCTGACCTTGGGTTTTTTGACATTCCATTATTTTCACCAACTCATTCAGACACCATCTAGAAGATGCGTAATTCGGAGATAAAATCACGAGCGCAATTTGTGATCCTTCGATTGCTTGCAGTAATGAGCGAGAGATCTCTTCTCCTCTTTCAAGCTCCTTATCGTCCATGAAAGCATGGATCCCGGCCTGTCTTAGAGCGGCATAAAGATGCGAAGCGAAACTGTTACGAATGTCTTCGCCTCTGAAACTCAAGACGACGTCGTAAATCCGTTTTGGCCGTTTGGAGGAAGACGTAGAAGACGAAGAAGCCATGGAAAGGATGAGGTAAGAGGAAATGAAACACTTCAAACGAGCTTTCTTTTGCAAGAGGAAGAGGATCGGGACGCTAACGTGGATAGCTATCCACTGTTAGGTCTAACATTCAAAGGATGGACTCAAGTCAATGAGGAGTTGAAATTCCTGCCAACCATCTCTTTTCTGATTTCTCATATTCCCCCTTCATTAATTCCACACAATTCGCACATCATATATGTTGTGACTAGTTTGGATTCGTGCAACACGGATTAAGCACCGATTTTTATTTAAGAAAATTATATAAAGTAATATAGATAATAATATTTATGACAATAAAAAGACATTTATGAAAATCACTCTTGTACGCGTTTAAGCGTGGACAAAAAAATACTTCTTCTATTTATATATATATATATATATATAAATTATATCACAGAGTTTAAAAAAATCAGTTAATTATAATAATTATGTTTAAAAATAAAAAATTAAACTAAAATACTTTATATTAATTAACATAAACATGCATTAATTATTTTTTATTGATGTAAATTATAAGGGATGATTTAAAAAATATATAATAAATGCTTATTAAAATGGGTGATTGTACTTAGGAAAAAAATGCAACTAAAAAATGATAGTTTTTCTAATAATTAAAAAAGGAGGGAGTATGTGACTTAAATATTGGCTAGATCATCCATAATGAAGTTGTCTTATTAAACATGTCGAAGATTTTTTTTTCGTTTTTAATTTAAAGAAGAAAAAAAATGAAATTCTAAATTAAGAGAATGAAAACTAATTGTAAAAAGTAAAAATTTAGTTTTGTATATAAAAAGTTTAAACAAAAATTACATTGGATTGAAATTTTAACAATCAAGAGAATTGCAGAGTAATGAGAAGAATGAAATTAGAAATGAAAGAGTTCATAATTATTAATTGCTCTGTTAGGCTAAATGCATTTCATAAACATGTTGGGAAATGTATATTCCATTGAATGATTTAACTTTTTATTTAATTTGGGTAAAATTAAAATTTTATTTTATTTTCAGACAAAATTATTAATTTATCTATCTCCACTTAATTTTGATGAGATAATTAGATATACCTATAATAGAGTTGGAAAGGAGTAATTTGTTATTTTTAAGTAACAAATTTTCAGCATAGAAAAAAGAGTCAATAAACATGTGATATCCAAGAATAAATTATATGTCAATTATTCTTATATATCAAACCAATACGACAATACCATATGATGGATGCATAAGAAATTAAACTCGTTTCAACTGATTTTTATAGTAGGATAGGTTTGTAAAGCATAATTATCTTTTCTCTTCTTGTCTCGGAAAATCTTAATAAAAATCTATTAGAAAATCCATCAGTCATTTATATTCTAGTCAAACATCTTTCTTCACAGATGATTGAGTTCCATGTGCAATTTCTTCCAACTTGACCGTGAACTTGAAGACAAACATACCTTTATTTCGATGACCATTGTAACCAACAAAATGTAGATTTAAAAGATTAAAAAAAAAAAAAAACCACGAGGCATCTTCTCCATCAGGTAAATTTCTTTTTCTCCCATATCAAATTATTTTTTGTTATAGTAATTTGAGTGAATGCGATGAAGTCTAATTTACCAATTCATTGAATCCCCCGTGCCTTTTGCACGTATTATACATCATACAAATGACCAATGAATATGAAATGTGGAAAAAATAAAAGATTAAAATAAGTTGAAGGAATTTCTTATGTCAAAAGGAAAAAACTAAATTGATCTTGAAAAACATTAAATTTAATGAATTACGATTCAAAAGAAGAAGAAATTATCAATTACTGAAACACAGAGGGAAAAAAAAAGGTCAATATGAGAGAGATTAAATGACCAAAACTATACAAAAGCCCAAAAAGATTAAGAAAGGTCCTATAAAATTATATTGTAGAATAATTTTACTTGCTTGTATATATAAGACGACATTTCTTATGATAATCTCTTCCTATAAGTTGCATACTGTCAGTCCTTTGATCCACCCATTAATCTCTTCCTAAAGGCAAAGGACTAGACATGGCAAGGATCTTGTAAAGCAAGATTGTTAGTAATCTCATCCCTTGTAAGGTGTCCCCTGTACAAGAACCAATCAAAAAATTCATTAATTAATGATTGCACAAGGACAATAATTATGGCACTTCCTAATAAAATTATTCACATTAGTTGTGTGATATACATCTCACTCATTTGCAAGAGCACATTGAGAGTGCTAATGCTACTACATAAGTGATGATGACACACTAAATTATGAATTTTTACGTGACTAATGCCTTGTTTGAAAGGAGGGGAGGGAAAATTTTAATTGTTTGCCCCTCCGCTTGTTTGGCAAAATTACAATGGAGGGGAGGGGAGAGAAAATTTTAATCATCTCCCCTCCAAATTGCAAGATCTCGCCACCGCTTTCTCCTTAGTTCAGTCATTCCGACGGAAGGGCATTACTTTTAATGCGATATTCAAGTTGAGAATAAGAGAAGAAGAGGGTGTGTAGAAATTAATTTGCGTGTGTAGAAATCAGGAGGAGTAGAGAAGAAGAGGGTGCGAGGCTCCTCCGCAACCACCCCAAACGGCGGCAGAGATCCCAACTCTGACCCCCCGCCGAAGGTCTTCCCTCTTTCCCTGCCTTACGTTTTTTGATCAGTGTTACCCCTATTTTGGCCCGTATTTTTCCCGTAAATGTGAAATGCTGTTGTAATTTCAATTCTTGGTCATGTTTAATCGCTATCCGTGATGATTTTATGTTACCACAAGATAATTTCGATAAATTGCGGGCGTTTCTACTTGTCTTGCAAATTGCATCTTCTTTTGGGGCAGAGCTGATTGCTGTATGTATAAGGCAGCTATACTCTGGCTTGAATCATAGGCTTCCCATTTGGAGATTAGCAAGACAAGTAAGGGTTGAAGGTAAGGGTTCCGATCAGCAACCTTCTTCTCCATTATATCCGCATCTGGGATATATATATATATATATATATATGCCTCTGGGATTTGGGCATCTTGTGGGGGTCGGGAGAGTTTATCTTCAATTATATTAATTGCTAGAAACAAGAGGAACTCATATTTTCCAGAGTTCAAACTTGATTAGAAATGATCAAATACAGATGCTTTATGGTAAGCATCTCAGTTTAGGTTTGCTCTCAAGGAATTCATACTTATGCTTTATGGTATGCGGGCTCTGCAATCGAGCCTGATCTCAAAGCTATCTGAGTTAAGGAGAAATAAAGCCATTGAAGCATCTCAGTTTAGGTTTGTTCTCAAGGAATTCATAATTTGTTGCGAACAAAAATTCTGAAGCTTCTTTCTTTCTTTCTTTGTTTTTTTTTTGTCGTGTGAAAATTAAATTTTAATTTAAAGGGGCAAGGCCTTGTAGCTCCAGGCATTGGCTGACCTTGGGGGAAGGACAATTGCATGATGGCTACTTTGAGGCATGGGTACACTCGATCTAGGATCAATCCTCACAGTAATTAGCTTCCTGCATGTTGTGGTGTTTGTTAAGTGGAACACTTCCCTGGGCTATAGACTAGCATCTCTTTCTTCTGGATGTTCTTGGGCATGTACATTCTTATGAGCAAGAGTGATCATGTGGCTAAAGTTTGATGTTGGCACGCTTGTCTGTTCTTCCGCATCATTGGGTTTGTGTGTTCTGGTACCCTTGAGAAGAGCCTATGAGGAACAAAGCATGCGTAGTTCAGTCTTGGCTCTGACACCACTTGGTGCAGGATTAGGAGAGAAAGTAGGATACAGGTGTAAGTAGATGGGAGAAAATGCAATAATTCATTCAATGATTAAGACTGAAGTCCTCGCTTCTATTGTATGGAGGTCGAAATATAACCAAGGCTGAAAGATATTCTTAAAATTATGGATAGGATATTAGAACTATACTGGAAAATAAAACTAGATAGGATTATAAGGCCAATAGTTAATCTTTAAGGAATTCCTAAAAATTATTGTTCTTAAGCCTATAACCTGTACTAAGGTTTCCATTCATTGGTGGAATTATCATAACTAACCCACTTAATAAGTTATCGGGTCATCCTCAGTTGCTAGGCTTTTGTGTGAGAAATGGAGGATGTTATGATGTACTTTACCTGTCTGCATGTTCAACCTTGTACTTTTGAAGAAGCCATTATGTTTCTGTTACATAAGTGTAATTGTGACAAGTTAGTTTATAATTAGTTAAGTAGCTGTTGGGAGGGAAAGCTTAGTTAGTGGCTGTTAGTAGCCGTTAGAGGAGTAGGTAGAATTAAGAGTCTATCAATAAGATTACCTATGTAACAAGATTATGATTAGGACTCTAATGAGAATATACGGCGAATGATTCAGCAAGTTTCTGTTCCCTATCTTCTATCATGTCATTCAATATTTGAAATGCTTCTCATTTTGAATGTAGGTTGTAATGGCAAAAGAGAGGCTGCGGGAGACATATTTCCTTGGGATGGGACTCTCACTTCAAGTGATTTCTTTCTTGCTGCTCATATGTTTTCTGACAATTGGAGAAAATTCAATACTTCAGTCCCTCCATGGTTGTGGGTTAAATGTCCAAAACGTTATTTGGTTTCTTCTAATGAGGTGGGCCTCTGCAATAGTTTTTTTTTTTCTTTAGTTCTGCAACTTTATTACTCGATGCTTCAAAACTACTCTGTTTTTTTTGTCTATGTATGTCTCTCAATCTCAGGGGGAAGGATATTTGTCACTGGAAAACATGTGCCTTTTAAAATCAAGTCAGGTCTGTTGTTTTCTCTTTTAGATAAGTTTTATTGTTGTCGTCGTCGTCGTTGTTATTGATGAGAAGAGACGGCAATTATTGGCGGGTATAATCCTCATAATGAATTAATAAAAACAACAAAGCCAATAAGCTAATATAAGCTTGAAAGAGCTTTCCAATCCTTTTGTAAATCCATAAGGTATACTCCCCTTAAAAAACTTTTGCTGAACTGTTTGACACAGTTTTTACACTCCTTAAAACTAGAGGCGATGTTAGTTATTGGATTGTAAGTGTCATGTGCAGGAAAAACAGGATACTGTTAGTCTGACATGGAAAGAAGAAAGCAATGTCTTGGAGAATGAAGAACCATTTGATAGTGCCACATTAGTATGTATGGCCTAATTGGTTTTCATTGTGTAGCTTACTAATTTTCATGCTACATCAATTTGGTGACTATTATTTTTGTTGGCAGTTTTTGTACTCTTCATTGTTATTGTTCTATTCCTTTTTGCAGGGTGCAGAGAGTGATTATCTTGAAATAAACCACTATGATTTTCATATAGTCTACAGTGCTTCATACAGGGTTCCAGTGCTGTATTTCCGTGCTTATCATAGTGGTATATTCACCATCCTATCGTCTTACAAAGTATGTTGCTTGTGATAAATATCCTATTGGATATATGACTGCATTTTTTATTGGAACTTCAAAATTGGAACCACTTGAAACAAAATACCACCTTATGGCTATTTAGCTGTAAACCTGAGTGAATGATTTTCTTTTGCAATTGGTTTGTCATTAGATATGAATGCTTAAAGAGGCGGGTTAAATAAAAGATCGTATTGCTGTCCTTAGGTGTTGTGGGGTGGGGGTGGACATTTAGGACACTGGCACTATTTTCAATCTAATTGAAGCCACAGTTGGATTTTGGTACCTAAGCCTTTGAATACTTGGGTTAAAACTTTTAATTTTGTGGAACATGAATAAGTTCAGTTAGGTCTCTGCCAACGTTTCTATTGCCTGATAGTATAAAAACATAACTGTATTTCTAAGATCAGAGTTGCGTTATCACCTAAATTTATGTCTACATTTTTTGTTTCTATATAATTCAAATTTTTTAATCAAGAAAATAATGTTAACAGCGAGGGAGATGCAATGCTGTTTGATTATGTAGATGAACAACCTTTCTATCCATTGAAAGGGGCATTCCTGGTCCCTCTGTGAAGTTGTAAGCAGTAATATATAAAAACTTATGTAGTCTAGTATATCATTAGAAACACACAGAATTAATTATATTTTGTTCAAGAAGAGTGCTGAACTTGGAACCTATTATCTGAATCTTTACCCACCGAACCTTCTGAACTAGCTTCAGGTAGAATTTCCTCGACTTTGCGTAAAGGGACAATTTTATAAATTTATAGATAAAAATGTAATTTAAATTTTCTTTTAACTGGGAAAATGATGTTCACAATGTGTGATACTTTTTGATATTCGGATTACATAGATGGACAACCTTTGCTGTTGAGTGAAATTGAAAAGGGCCTTCCTGGCCACTCTGTGAAGTTGCTATCTGAATCAAAATGGACGTTCATAACTCAAGAGGTAAGTAACCATATGCCTCTTATCTCTCTTTTTGCAGTAAAAGAATTGTTTTCATTATCTTTTTGTAAGTTCCTTTTTTGGTTAAGCATCTATGCTTTGGTTCTTGCTTATTTATTTATTTTTATTGAGACTGCCAAGTTATATATGAATTTCGAGTCCTTGCATTCTTTGCCTTTGATTTATTAATGAAAGGAATTTTATGAGTAGAAGTGAAAGGAGAATGTAGTTAATGAACTAAACTTGTGGGATGTCCAACAGTACCTTGTATATTAAAGTGAACTTATTTTAATGGGTTTTTTCCTTTTGTTTATAGTCACATAGAAATCTTTCCCTATTTATGTGTTTATATTACAAATAACTAAAATGAATATCAATGGCACAAAATCATACTTTTGCAAGCCGACCTGCTGCTCATAAAAGTAACGCACAAGGAATCACTCTAGAGAGGTGCAAGTTAGTAAAAACGTTTCCCGTTAAGCTCAGAACAATATTATAATAGGAGAATAGTTTATCTTAACGCTTAATTGCATGTTTTGCTTATAAGCCTTGGAATATACCCCTAATGGTTTTAATGTTATATATCCTGTAGGAGCATCCATATCTGAACAGGCCATGGTGCAAATTACATCCATGTGGGACAAGTGAGTGGATGAAGCTGCTTTTTTCTAGTGACAAGTCTTTGACCACAAATGGTCTGAAGATTGAACATTATCTGGCTTCATGGTTCTCCGTCATTGGGCAAGTCGTTGGCCTTAAAATTCCTTTGGAGATGATGGACTTTGGTTGCTAATTACTCTTACTGATGAAAAGGATTCTTCTATTCAAATTGAGTTGCTGTAAAGCTGGCTAACGAGATAAACAAGCTTTGTGTTGCGGGTGCTTGATGTCTCGAACAAGGAATAGGAATTAGGGTCGGCTAAATTGGCAAAGAAAAGGATATGGGAATATGGGATTTTGTTTGTTTTAAATTAGGATTTTATCTTTTATTGCATTTAGATTTAAATAAAGCATATATTATTTGCTTCATTTGTCAATGAAGAACTGGGGAAAGAAGAAAAAGCTGCAGCTTGTAGAGAATTTATAAGTTTGCTGTCGATACGTGTGTGGAATGATGTAAACTAAGGCAAAATGATAATATATCCTGACAATTTAATATCTCAAAATATTATAATATTAATAAAGTTTTTAAAGATTTTTTGTCATTAAAAAATTAATATAAATGATTAGATTACTCTTTGTTTAAATATTAATTATCATTTACAAGTTTTATTTTAAGATTTATGACATTTTTTTTAAATTGCAAAAATTCATTAACACTTTACAAGTTTGAATTTAATATCCTGATATTTGTTAAGTATTGCAAATATTAATTATTATTTACAAGTTTTATTTTAAAATTTATAATTTTTTTCTTAAAATTGCAAGAATGAAAAAAGAATTCACAAGTTTGCATTTGAAATTTTAACAAACAACAACAACAACAAGCCTTTATCCCACTAGGTGGGGTCGGTTACATGGATTGCAAGACGCCATTGTGCTCTATCATTATTAAGCTTTTAGAAATATTATTAATTAAGAGATCACGTTCAACAACTTCCAAAGTGTTCTCTTAGGCCTTCCTCTACCTCTCTTAATCGGACTCAAAGGCATTTGAAATTTTAAATTAAGGGTAATTTAGTTATTTACATTCATTCCTTAATAATAAAAAATAAAAAAAAAGTCTCTAGAGACTTTATGAATATTATGATATTTTAAAATATTATGATATTTTAAAAAAAAAAAAATTAAATTATCATTTATATAATTTAAAGAAATTTTATTATATTTTTCCTGTAAACAAATAGATTCACTGTCTGTATTTTACATTAGCTTAAAGCTTCTGAAGCTAAGCATAAAGTGATTTAAGTGGGGAGAACGGCAATTAAGTCCAAAAAAGGGAATCAATATCTGCAACTATTTGAACCAATATTTGTATTTCTCTAATTATCATTAATTTTAATTTTCTCTTTTAGGACTCTACTTGTCATCCTTCCGTTGCAGTATTAAGTTGATTTAAATCTTCATCTGCGTCACAAATTACATATTCATCCACGGGGATCTTCCTTGTTCGCCTGTCTTGGTGACTTCTCTGAGCATTTCTGGTTAAAGCATTGTAATTTACCAATGGGGAAAAATTTTAGAGCATTGACAACTGGGAGGGAATTTCATTTATGTTTTGCATTGATGGGACCTTGTGATTATTTATTGGTTGTAAGAAAAAAGAATAGTACACTTTACAGCTTTTGACAATACACAAGATAAGGTAGGATATGCATTGCATGCCCAGTAGAAAAAAAACTCAAACTGCAGAATTTGCATTCTCTCTTATAGTCTGAAGAGTAAATAATATTGATGGTAATTTTTTTGGAAAAAAGGACAGAAAATATTACTGTAGTTAGTTCTGTTGTGTTGGTGATCGAAAAGGATCAGTCCAGCAAGAATCTTCCAGGACTGCCTTTTTCCATCTATTCTTGAACGTCTCAAGTTCAACATAGGATTGCTTTCTTACCTGTCAAAATAACCAATAAATGAAACGCTGCATAATACTACAGCCATTTATTTCCCTAGAGGGCATGATCATAGATGGATCAGTGATCTCTAGTTTTAGCTTATATCATGTCAAATTACAGAGATTGCCAAAACAGATGTTTACTCATGGGTTATTTTATTCTAATGACTGATCATATCTAGATATTTGGCAACAAAACCCCTGGAAGACCAAATTTTAATTTGTCATTCATTGCTTGGAGAATAGAATTGAAGGCTCACCTCAGACCTAGCATCAGTTTGATTTGACAGCATTTTCTCCTGCAAACCCACAGGCAATTATTTACCGTTTGAAAGACTAAATAATTGAATAAAGAGAACTTGCGCTTCTATTAAATACCATTTCCTTATTCAACACTTTTGCATTTTGATCACCTTGACTATGTGTTGTAGATGTCTGCAATAATTAGTTAAACCAACTGTTGATTATATTAAACAGGATAACAGTAGAAACATCATAGGAGGAAGAGAGAGAGAGAGAGAGAGAGTTAAGGTAAGATAATATAAATTTGGTGGTGATAAAAGAGGAGGTTACTAGTTAGTTCTTATGATCCCTAAATGTATTAACAAGAAGGGATAATATAATTTTAAGTTTCTAAATTATACCGAGCCAACAAATTATAGAAATTGAGTTGTTTTGAGTCAAGAAAGTATAAAGACGAAGTTATTTCGAGCCAAAGTTAAAGAACTGAATTGATAATTAATAAATGAAAACAAGTTCATGGACTAAAAATTATATTTTCCCCAGCAAAAACAAAATGCCTGGATGGTCAAGTTTCTAACCTTGTTTGCTGTCAAGCCACCAAGTGTTGGTATGCCATAGTGTACTAAATACTGAGAATCAACTATACCAATGTTTGTAGTCCTATCACCCTGCGAAAGGAATGCTTCCCAATAAAAATAAAGTAAATAAAAATATATAAAAGAAACTTATCTGGCCAGATGAAAATTACCTGTGAACAATAACCTAGCTGAAAGTCCAAACCCCATGCGTGAACTAAATCGTTCTGTCAAAAGGTGCAGGGAAGAATGCCTGTTACTTAGCATAAAGGCAAAACATCATGGAGCCTGAATTCATTATTGATCATATTTTTAAGTTTAATTTGGAATTAGTCATGAGATAAGGAACTTCATTCATTTAACAAGTTCATTTTGGGATAATACATTAATGCTATAGCAGTAACATGAGCCACCCTGATAGAGGAAAGACTTCAACTTTTCATGCCCTTGGTTGACAATGAAATTCAATTCTGAGTGTAAGGTCTACAATGGCATATTCTGTTAGAAAGTGATTTACTTGGTTTTAAATCAAGCTGGGAAAAATTTTAAGAAGCTATCAGCTTCAAATGTTTGGTTGAGTTATACTCAATTCAACTAAATTTTATATGACAAACCTGAATCATATGCCATACACAACGCCAAGATGCCTTTGAGAACACAGGAGCCATCATCTCCACAAACCTGGAATGAGAATTCATATAATTTAGTCTTACTTCATACAAATAAAATACTGAAGAAACGGGAAAAAAATGCAGAGTGGAGGATGAAACTTAATGACAATATCCAGTTAATGATGCCACTTGAAAATATTTAATTAGCGAGGAATTTTCAACCCTATGGGTAAAGATTTTGTTTGAAGCTGTAGTAAAATTCAGAGCTTGTTTAGATATGCCAAGGCATTGAGCAGCTTTGCTTCATGTTTAATCCCATTTATATTATTGTTCTTTCTTAATAAAATTTCTTCTTCAATCTGTATATAAAAGGGGAGAAAAGAAGAAAAAGAAGAAGAGTATATCTACACGAGACATGAAATTCGTCTGCATCATGTGCACCGGCAGAGAAAAACAAGTTTTGAAGCAGCGAAGTACACAGCATTTGAATTAATGCAGAATTTTTACCCTGTGCATGGGGGCCCTGTGCTGTTTTGATCACATTTTCTGCCACCTCTTAGCGTCTTGTGGATTTTCCTGTTAATATAACTCAATGTCAAAAGAATAGATTACTATGCAAAAATTTGACTGAAAGCTGAATTCAATAAAGCCTTAATTAATAGTTCCACATTACACATGTATCTCCACTTATATATCAAACTTAAAAAATTTCACCAGAGCTCAAAGTTATTAGTTGTAAGAATCATAATAGAACTTTTCTTGAACTTGCTTTTCTGAGCTTCTATGACCAATTAATCTCCCCATCCTTTTAACCAGAATTAAATTTCACAGGTTCTGATAGGTTTGTCATTTGTCAAAAAGTTCTGAATCCAATAAGTTCTCATGTGAGTCATATTAGATATTCAACAAAACCATTCATGGGCATTGACTGAGTGAGTTTTCATTTGTTACTGTGTCCAAATAAAAAGATGTTCTGACAAACCTGTGAACATTTAACTTGTTGTTCCTTGCTGTGAGATCATGGTGAACCTCTGATACATCAGGATCCAGTGCTGGTTGTGATATCTCAAGCCCTTCTTCATTGACTATGGATAAATATCTGCATGCACAAAAAATTATGCCAACAGATAATTTATATAATAAAATTTATAGCAAATATTATCCATAAGTCATGAACAGTGTGATTCGTTCATCAAACTTTGCATGATGTATAGGAAAATTTATCTAAAAGAAAAGTGTGAAAGAAAATACAAACACGCCTACTTTTGGACATCAAAATGTTCCACTCCAAGGTCTTCATCCCACAAGAAGATGTATGAATACTCGTAAATGATATCTGGGTGCAAGAATCGCTTGGCGAACCACCTAACTCATTTATAGCAAAAGTATAAACTTATTATTCAGAAGTAACTAATTATCCACATTGACAGCTACATTTGTTTTTCTCTTGATGAAAATTGTGTTAATTGATAAACAAAATTTCAATTTTGAATTGTAGACAAACTTGAGACAGAAATTGTTGATTTGAATCCTCTAGCTGAGAATGATAGATTTTGGTGGAGTTTTTCAATTAAAAAAAGAAAATAAACAACCGAGGGATTGGATCAATTGTTAAGAGGATTGATCTAGCTTAACTAGAGGTTTTAACTTCGTGAAGTCAGATGTATCTATATAAGTCCCATATTCTTTATTTCTGAAGAAAGTTGATGAATGTTATAAAGGACAAGAGAAGCAAGTTCACCATTTAGTTTGATTGACAGCAGAAACATGAATGGCATGATCACACCATTCCAGATCCCTCCATTGATCAACAATGCCATCATAGTGGAAAAGCATCACCACAAAATCATTACTTGTTGTAAACTGCAATGAAAAAGCAAGAAATTTCAAGAAAGAGTGTGTGTGTGTGTGAGAGAGAGAGAGAGAGAGAGAGAGAGTCATCAAAAGTATGACAAACTGAATTTTCATTTTCTCACCTTGTTTACGACATTATTAACGTTTTCTTTCTGCTTTATACCAACTGCCATGGCCAGTAAATTTGTCACTGACTCTGAACTCTGAAAGCATCCAACAGTTTCAAAAATTACTTGAAATAATTCAGAACTATATCCATACGGAAACAGAATAGACTTAGACTAAGTAAATTGAGTTGTTCTGTTCTTATGAAAAATTCACTTCTATTCAAGCATAGCTTATTAATTAATTCTTATTGATTTTGAAAATGACATGACACGACTTATTCATGGTATTAGAATCCAACCCAAGTTAGCAAGTCAAACTAATAAATTAGCGAACCAGTTTCCTGACCGATCTGATCAAGAGTTTTGGACGGATCAACGGGTTAGATTTTATTTTTCTGGCTTTTCCGAGCCTAAAACAAAATCATTTTGAGTTAAAAAAAAATAATCATGACTAACTATTGACCCTTGAACCACTACCTCAACAAGTTCGATGAAGTCCGAGTGACCCTTGAAGCACTGGCTTGACAAGTTCAATAAAGTCCAAGTTTCAGTACCTTATGCTTATTGCGAGGACCCCACAATGGTCTCATTTCCAAGTCAGAAGTGATGGCAGTTATTCCTTTTGGTAGTGCCTCAGCTCCACGGGGTCTGCAATTACCCTGAAAATCCACACAAAAGATAAATTTTATTTGCTATTAAACCAATATCCCAAACATATATCTGAAAATACAAGTTGATCCTTGTTTCCCCACATTAACAAACTGATGCACATAAATTAACTGTGTTTATATATTTATCTAATAACTGCTAGAGAAGGCAAAATTTGATCATCATCTTACCTTACAATCTGCACATTTTGCATCGAGCAAAATATCCACAAATTGCCATCCTGCGAACCTCTGCATAAAAGAGACCAATAAATACAAAACGCAATGCAATTCATATGTATGAAACTATATACATATATATAGTATCTGTTCTTGAAGGGACCATTTGGGTACCTCTTTATAATCCGTCACTACAAATGCACTTCCTATCAAGAAAGCTGCGGAAATCAAGAAAATTTTAGACAGTAATTGGCGATGAAGTGTTCTTTTCCTTTTAGGTTCCACCAAAAGAGATACCTGTAAAGTGAACCAAATAATTATGTTATTCATTAATTATATAAAAATCAATTTAGTTCTCTTACAAATATTAGGTCCTCAGAACTTAGACGTGCCCTACCAGTCCTTCAGTGTAAATCCGCCACATTCATTTTTATTAGCTACATACTAAATTCTCTCGAGTCCCAGTCAACCCTATCCGTTTTTCAAGTGGCATTAGACTTTAGAATCAATTTTATCAGCATTTTATTACTTCACAGTGTCAGTCAGATGCAACTTTAAGTACCAACGGACATCTCATGTTCTTTAATTTGAAAATATATAATCTCAATATTAGCACTCCGTTGTGAGTTTTGAGCCTCACATCAGGAGACTAGCAAGTTTATAAGTGCAAGAACTCTACCCCTTTATCTCACAAAAGGAGCTGCTCGGGAAGGTTCTGAGCAAAGGTTTTGACCACCAGGAAACTGAGTTAAGTGTTTTAGTTCAAAGTAATCTCCCACCCAATAAATTTATGATTCTTTTTTAACTTAAGCTAATCTTTTTAAGATGATTCTCAACAACAAGAATTATTTGATCCCGGCCCAAATTTCACACAAACATGTAGCTAATGTTTCGGTTATTCTCCCATAATTCTTCCATTTTCCATCAAATATCGGTCTGAACGAAGGATTATATTCATTATAGTATATCACTCAGCAGAAGAGGCTAGGTCATGCTACTTCAAGCTTCGTAAAAGCATCAAGCTCATATGTCTATACATACATGGATATAGACACACGTATATATACGTTATTATTGGGCATTCTTGGACTTATACTTCCCTATACTTTCCTTCTTCCATAATATCATTAGGAATATTATATCTGCTTCTCTAAGATCATGTACTTTATGTAAGCTTCTGCATTATGAAGAGGAAATTGAATTAAATCAGAACTTGGATTATAAAAAGTAAAAAGTCCTCGGTCCCCTTGATTCAGCTCCAAAGACATGAGAAGATCATGACCCACAGAAAACAGACAAAAGAAAAGAAACTAAACAAAGAGAAGTGGAAGAAGAAAAAGAAACATGTAGAACACACAAAATGTGATGTAATGACTTCCAATTCTCTACTTCAGGCACGTGGCAGAAATCCAGTGCACGCGTGTGCAGGTTTTACGACGTCTGTCCTCCGGCGACACTCTGCTGCGCGTAGTCCTTAATGTCACGCGCTTTATTCATGAGCTTGTTACGCGCCGTTTGCAGCTGGTCACTTCCTGCGGGATTCTGGCCGGTGACATACTTGTAGATCCACGCTATCGCAGTGACGGCCGCCACACCGAACCCACCAGAGGCCGTGAAGCCCAAGCCCAAGAGGATCACAGAGATCAAAGCAGGCACCAGCACCGGACTGAATATCACGAACAGTGGAGTCACAATAGTCAAGCCGATGACCGTTCCGGCAAGGATCAAAGCAGAGAGGATCAAAAGGGAGCCACCGGCTGTGACAGCAGTGGCGACCTTGGCGGCCTGGTAGGTCCCAGAGTCGGCGGTGTAGGGCCTCTGCGAGCCGTAGTAAGGGGACTGAGTGCCGAAGTAATAAGGGGAATCATGATGGCGGATTTCGGCCATTGAAACGATAGAGATCGGAGAGGGAAACTGATACGAAACGAAAGATGAGAAGTGGCGTGTGGGAGAAGGAGGCGAAGGGGTTTAAATAAGAAGAGGAAGAAGAAGGTGTGGTGGCGGAAGATGGAGAGTGAGAAGGGCACGTGGTGACATGGTTGTCATGCAGGGGCTGCATGAACACGACGCAGATTTGCCTGGCGACACGTTCGCTGCTTACTTGTTTGGATTTTGGAAGTTTTACAAATATGAAATTAAGTCCATTTGGCTATTCATAATGGCTGATTGAAAATGAGTTCATGACTTGATGTAATACAAGCCTCATCCGCTAGCTGCAGCAAGTAAGTTGAAAATTTCTACTAATTTTTTTATTTAAATAATTAAACCTTTTTTTTCATTAGTACATGGAGTAGACTCTCCAACAATGGAACCAAATTTAGTGCTTATCATATTAATGAACACGGAGAGCTCATTACTTGTGGATCCTTTAAATATAATTTTCAAGGTGTGGATTTACAATTTTTCAACTAATGTTTTTTAAATATTTTTTTTTTTGAAAAACTAATAGTTAAGAAATTGTCACTACTTAGATTTTGTATCCATTAAAATAATCTTTTAAAATAAATGAAGGTAAAAAGTTGTAAATATGGACAAAAGGTGATAAACTCTCAATGCTTATCATTAGTACTAAAATCGGTTCTCCCCCCCCCCCCCCAACAATAGAGATTATCTCCCTCGAAGCTAAAGTGTCGGCATTTTCCAACTAACTTACTACATGTACAAGAGATGAGGTTTGAAACTCCCAACCATTTATTTAAGTGATGAAAGCTACTTACCACCCCATAATAGATAATAATGTTATTTTTTTTAATAATAAAGGTCAACAAACTTGAAGGACTATCTTAAAGCATATTTAATATAAAAATTTTACAAAATGTAAGAGAGGTAGGAATACTTAATAGAACTTGAATCAAAACGATGAAAATAGCTTTTCATATAAAAATAAAAAAGTAAATGAAATATATATATATATATATATACACACACACACATAATTTTTCTTTCCCCAGCTCACCTTGCAGTGAATTGCACTAGATCAAACTTTTTACATCTTAATTTTATTTTATTTTTTTATAATTTCACATTTCACTAATAATTTTGTAAAAGGGCTCCTAGTTTAGTTTGATATCCAAAACCTAATGTTGTAGGTTCAAATGTTATAGGACGTGATTCCATTCTTATGAGATTGAGAATGATACTGAAATAATGAAACAACATTCTAAAATCTTATTTACCTCTTATGAATTAGGATTAAAATAAAGAAAGAAGAGCTCAATAAAAAAATGTTAATTATTAATCAAAGGTCCAACTGATCACCACGTCGGTATTGCAACTATGCAGTTACAAATAATCCAATCAAAGTAATAGGAATTAGACCTAACATGATTTTAAATAAAAAAACTTCAATCATTTTTCTTTGTTTGAAAGGAGAAATGGGGAGGTAATATATATCCTTAAATATTATTTTTTTCTAAATATCTCAAAAAGAAAACAGCACAATGAATAATCCAAAGTATTCTTAAAAGGATTCTATTTTTAAAAAGAAAAAAAATATCATTATCAAATCTTTTATTTATATTTGGATTGAGAAAAATAAATGAGTTGAATAAAATTCAATAAAAAGTAAGAGTATTCAAATGATTAATGAATCACCATTCCAATACAATCTATTAATTGAACAGCTTGTTCCTTGACAGCAAAAAAAAAAGATCTAAATTATAGATCAAAGAAAATCATAAAACAAATAGAAAAATTTAATATTTTACAAAATTATTGAAGAGAAATAGGTCCATTTTTGGCCATCCCCGGCGGAGAAACAGTGGTTCATGCAGCTAGGTTAACCGGGCATTGACGACTTGAAGAGCCTCGGCCTGTAATCCCATTAGAGAATCACTGATAACAGCCGGATGTGTCGTCTGCTGCTCTGTAAAGAGCAGCCTCACGGGAACTCTTTACTTGTCTAGCTCAGTAGACCTACCATCGCAGTGTCCCACTGCTTTAAAGCCCCCCGCTCGGGTTACAAGCTCACACAACTCAGCTCGGCGAGTTGCTTCGTGTATCGGGAGAAGCACTTATATGTGATAATTTGTCATTGAGACCATGCAATGTGGGACTCCCTGGTTCTTTTTTCTGCTAATTGTGGAATATTTTGCTCTACAGTTGTGATATATTGACCCTCGCCGAATAAAACATGATCTTATAAGAGTGGAATCTCGCAATGCTAAAGAAGAGGAATCTATCAATCGATGGCTTTTTTTACCCCATCGTGGTTCGTTGTTGGGATAAATGGTTGTTCAAGTCGCGAGTCTTGCTTCAACGTTAACGTATAGTACGCGATGCTCTTGGCTGTGAGATTTTCTAATTTCTACCACTACTAACTAAAAACACCTGATCAACAAATCTATTAAATAACATACTTTTATCATCCTACATACATCAAGCAGGTTGTTCAAATTAATCACTACAGAAATTTAGATACTACAAAGAAGAAAGGGGTAGGTCATCATGATTTTGATACCGATCCTGCAATGGATTTGAAGCAAGAAAAGTAAGAGAAACATACCGTACTGTTGCAGGTCTTCATCATCCTAGCTTCTGGAATTACAGCAAAAAAGAGTAGTCATGTGAGAATATTAATTGCATCAATGAAAAGCCATATATGTTGATCTTTTTGTATCCTTTACGTTCTAAGGAAGTTGAAGATCAACACTCAGAAAAGAGGCTTAAGTAGAGAACAAGTAGAAGAAACCGAGTTTACGTTACTCATCTAACTCTGTAACGTGGAACTGCCAAAAGTCGGTTGCATGTGCAGCTGTATTTCCCATCGCCAAGACTTCTTGTTCCTTCACATACACGCAATCCCTTCGGCAAAAACGCATATCAGTAAGGAAAAGGTCGTTTAGTTTCGTCTATAATATATTTAGTAAGTCAAAATTTTATTTTATTATATTGGTCCCAACAAAAACTGCTTGTACCAGCAAGCAAAAGCAGAAAAATGTTTCGTAGGAAAATGAGATATATTTAATGTCGCTTCATTCTGATCTTGAGGAAAAAGCAAACTTTAAACTATTCCAAGTTCCAATATATTCAATTATTCATGATCCGATAAGTGTGGCCTTTTTTGTGCCATAATTTATTCAAGATTCACTATCCTTGTGTTCTTATATTACCCACAACAATCGCAATTTTCTCCCTTCACTTTCGTTGTGCTTTATAACATTCACTTTTCTTTAGTATCTATGAAATTGGTTGAAAGAGATTGGAGAATGATTTTACTTATTGGATTGTTTGGTTTCTTTTTTTTTTTTGGGGGGGGGGGTTTTACTTCCTCCAGTAACTTTTAATTACAAGGATCTATTAGTTAGTTTATGAAGATTGAAAAAAGTTTTAAAATCTAGACTAGTGATCGAACTAGTTAAAGTAATAGTTCATGGTTCAATGATCAAACCGTGATCAGACCATTTATAAATATTATTATATTTAATATTTTATATATTAAATATTATATTATAAATAATATCTAATATTTAAAAAAAACTACTATTTATTGATAATAATTAAAAAATTATTGTAAGATAAATGAAATTGAAAGTTAAGTGGGCAAACTATAATGTATTTTTAATTATTCAATGTTCATTGAAAAATATCAATTACATAAAAAATGATAAACTATAAGGTGTTTTTAGGAGACTTATTAAAAATACATTTAAAATATCATATAAAAAATAGATAAATAATTAAAAGTATAAAAATTAAAGATTTGTGTTTATATTATAAAATAGTTTAAGGATTAAAATGAATTAATAAATATTGACGAGAATAAAGAGGGGCAAAAAGCCGCCGTTGTTTATGCTTTACACAATTGGTTATTACTCCTATCTAAAGTCGGGAATAAGGGCTGAGCCTGGAGGGCAGGGCTTGGAGGCCCTGTTTAAATAATGGTTCGGGCTTTAAAAATAATTTTGTTTAAAATAATCGGGCTTGAGGGTTTGACCCTGATAAGCCCTGTAAAAAAGGGCTCGAGCTCGGGTAGCCCTTCAAGCCCTATTATATTATTATTACTATTTTCTTTGGTGGAACATGTATTTGAAGTCAATGACCTGCTCACCTGATCCTACAAACATTATATTATTATTAATTTTAATTTATTCTAAAATTGATTTAATATAATTTAATAAATATCAGTGTATAGTATAAAATTCCTGATATTTTTTATTTTTCTATAATTATTATATTTGTGTATTTATAAAAAATGAATTATTTTTTAACCAAGATTTAAATTTTATTACTAGACTTCTAAATGTATGTTGTTTAATTTTTAAAAAATTATGAGAATTTTATTTTTTTTAATTTCAAAATATTTTAATTAATTTATAATGTTTAATTTTATTTTTATTATTTTTATTTTTTTGAAAAAGGGTTTATGGGCTCGGCCCTGAGCCCTTCACATAAGGGCCGGGTTTGAGAAATGAGGTTCAAAATAGGGAATCGGGTTTTAGGGCTCAGGCCCTTAAGGGCTAAGCCCATAAGAGCCAGGCTCGCCCGTATTCCCAGCTCTACCTATGTCCTACATCGAAGAATGAAAGAAAAAGTTGGAGGTAGCATTGTTACATAAGAGTCATGGGGTGCTAACCAAAAACATGTGAGCTGAGTTGTATGTTAGAAAAATTTACAACTCTAGGCCTAGTTGTGTAGTAAAAAGTAATTTTAATTTTTCATCTTGAACTTGAATTTTGTTTTTTTAATCTTGTTTTTTTATTTTTTTAGGAAAAATTACAATAAGGTCCCACACATCAAACTTAAATACTGCTAGGTCCCATGAATAAGCCAAGTTAGTATGAAGTCCCATAGTCCTTAGGGGTAAATAATATTAAAACTAAAAAGATCCATTTGCCCTTGGCTAATTTAAAAGGGAAGAAAAGAAGGAAAGAGGAAAGAAGTTTGGTTTTCACGCATGATAGAGGCAACAGCAGCTGAGATGCATCTCACAAGTGTCTTCAGAATGGCATATGTAAGGATCAACTTATAGCTAAAAGATGAACCCATTCTTGCAATGATCTTTAGTTTGAGGTATGTAGGAGTCTGTGAAGGAAGAGGGCCTACGTTCAAACATTCTTGCACCCAGGTTCGAGCTTCAAAGCATTTGATATTGTAACCTCACAAAAATAAGTAAATGATAAGATTAGTTTGCATATACTCCTTGTTAATCATTTAATCTAGTATTTTATGGTTTATTGGTAGAATAGGGTTTTCTCTTTCTCTTCTTATGGGTATATAAATCATGGGTAGTCTCTCTCTCTCTCTCTTAGTCAATATATTTATCATGGGTGGTCATTGGGGTTGCATTAGTAATAGTTTATTCTAGAATCTAGTACTACCTAGTTGAGCTGATGAGTCTGTCATGAGATAGTAAGATATATTGTTAATAGCTAAAGCATCTGTTGTCAATATGCTATAAGTAATTGTCAATATGTTATGTGACGTGCAGGTTGAGAATACCTTGAATATATTGTTAATATATGAAGCTTAAGTTGTTAATATGTCATGGGCAATTGTCAACATGTTATGTGCAGCATCGGTTGACAATATCTTTTGTGTGTTATTAATTGCTGAAATCAAAATGCTATAGGTAGTTGTCAATATGTTGTGTATGGTGTAAGTTGACATGAAAGATGGCTAGTACTTTTGGGAAACATCTATTATATTTTTTTATATTGGAGGAAAAATTGCATATGATAACTAAGGTAGTATGCAATATGTGGGTGAGAGTGTAAGAACAAGAAGTATAAAGGAAGGGACAAGTTATGAAGAGTTGAGAAAAATGTTATCAACAATTATGGGGTGTGAAAGCATTCGAAGTGTGATGAATTTCATACTCAGCATTGACAGAAGCACACTTATAGATCTTGTTGATGATGATGGAGTAGAACATTTAATTAAGTACAATGAAGAAAGTAGACATGTATATATAGTTGAAAATGAAAATGACACTAAACAAGCTTCAATGGATGACCCAATTGAGTGCCAGCATGTGTAAGTTGTGTTAATTATTTTTGTTAACATATATAATATTAAAATGTAGTATTACTAATGCACTCGGATTGTAATTTTTTATAGGATTGATAATTTATTGGGAGGTTCAAAGAGAGGGTCTTTATCTCCATGTAGTTTGTGTCCTAAGATTGAAGACTTACCATTAGAATGTGCTGTACAAATAGTGCCTACACCAATACCCGAAATGAGTTCAACAAAATAGAAGGACTTGTTTGTAAGTAAAGGCCAAATGTTTACCAATACAGTGACCTTTAGACAAACTTTGTACAAATATAGTATTAGGCACAAGTTTTCATACAAGTTTAAGAAGAACAATACGAAAAAGGTCATTGCTAAGTGCAAGGTTGAGGGATGTCCATGGAATATTACAGCATATTTAATAGGAAAGCATAGTGACTTTTTGAGGGTAACAAGATTCAATGGCGAGCACATCCACAATGCACAGGACAAGCTTATTGTTTCATACTGGACAAGAGCAAATTCAACTTCACCGATCATTGCTGATACTTTGAGGTCTACTATAGACAAGAGTATGAATGAAATTAGAAGAGACTTGTATAGAGAGTATGATGTGCGATTGACATACGGTCAAGCATATAGGGAAAGAGGAAAAGCATTGCAAGATATACATGGTCTTCCATAAGATTCTTATATGATAATCCCTTGGATTTATGATAGATTAAGGGAAACTGATGCAACGATAGTTGCAAAATAGGAAGCCTCCGATAGCAACAAATTTGAGAGGTTATTCATTGCATATGGATGCTGTATTTTGAATTTTCTAAAAGGTTGTCGACACATACTTTATATAGATGGATGCTTTCTAAACGGTCTATACAAGGAAACATTGTTAGCAACTTCTACTTATGACGTGGACAATGACCTATTTCTGCTAGCATATGCTATTGTGAGTGGGGAAATAGTTGAAGATTGGTCTTGGTTTCTTAGAAATTTCAAAGATATCACAAGATCAATTGAAATAACATTAGGTTTTGATAGGCATAATGCCATTATTGGGGCTGTGCAAGCTATTTTTGGTGGCGAGAGACATGCATATTGCTACCGTCATGTGAAGGAAAATTTTAGTGCTAAGTATGTAAAAATCAATAGAGGTCAAAGGAGGACATCAGGGAATAGTAAGGAGGCTGCACTAAAATTGCTTGATGCAGTTGCTTATCCTAGGCATGAGGAAGAATTTAATATTGCTATGAGGAACCTTAGATTGTTCAATCCACAATTGGCACAATAGGTTGAAGCTCAAGGGGATGTAGATCGATAGGCACAATGTAAGTTTCCTTATAAACGATGGGATAACATTACAACAAATCTTGTTGAATCATTTAATGCTTGGATTATGAAGGAGCAAAAGCACAATATTGATGTTTTAATACACGAACATCGAGAGAAATTGACAAACAAGATGCTAGCATCCAAAATGGCCATGATTAATTGGAAAGATGGGGTAAGACCTAATATGGAAGCAAAAATGATAGAGCAAGTTGCAAGGGTTGAAAATTTACATGCACAATTTATGGAGAAAATTAGATCTCAGTACAAACCTTTTCTCCTAATGGAATAATTCATTTGACTATAGATATTGCAAAACATGAGTGCAATTGTTTGGCATGGCAAATAAGTGGAATACCTTGTGCACATGCATGTACAGCAATAAAGCTGGTTCATGGAAATGTGTACACATCTGTGAATAAATGTTATAAGTTGATATCACAGTAGAAAATTTATGCTCGCAGCATGAGGCTTATGTCCACACATGATATTCCACAACCAGATGCACTGATAGTAACAAATATGTTAACCCAAACATTCTTACAACCACCGACGACTAGAAGGCCTCCACGAAGACTTAAGACGAAAAGACGTGAATCTCAATTTCAAAAAAAAAAACTTTATCATTGTGGAAGATGTCGTAAGGCTGGTCATACTTCTAGAACCTGCAAGAACCTTAATCCATGCTGATTAATGTTGGGAAGATACAATTTTTTTGATTATGCAACTGATATTTTATTGTAACTACATATGGTATTTTTTTTGTAAATGCATATGATATTTTTTTGTAAATGCATCTGAAAGTGTACTATATTCATGTAGCCCATGTGCGTATTTTTGGAATGGGTAGTCAATATTATGTAAATGCATGGATGATGATGCTTGTATAGCTGCTCTACATGTTCAAGTTGTAAATACTGGTATAAGCCTTGTTAATAATGAATGAATGGACAGTTGTCATTCCCCCTACCCAACTTGTCATTCCCCTTTTTCCAGTTGTCATTCCCCCTTACCTAGTTGTTAACGATAATTGTCTCAATTAAAAAGAACTTGTTATACCTGGAATATAGTGAGTTGTGAATGCACCTCACCTTGTTGTCATTCTCCCTACCCAACTTGTCATTCCCCCTTTCCCAGTTATCATTCCCCTTTGCCCAGTTGTTAACGATTATTATCCCAATTAAAAAGGCCTTGTTATACTTAGAACATAGTGAGTTGTGAATGTACCTCACCTAGTAGTCATTCTCCCTACCCAACTTGTCATTCCCCCTTTCCCTGTTGTCATTCCCCCTTGCCCAGTTGTTAACAATTATTGTCCCAATTAAAAAGGCCTTGTTATACCTGAAACATAGTGAGTTGTGAATGCACCTCACCTAATTGTCATTCTCCTTACCCAACTTGTCATTCCCTCTTTCCCTGTTGTCAGTCCCCCTTGCCTAGTTGTTAACGATTATTGTCCCAATTAAAAAGGCATTGTTATACCTGGAACATAGTGAGTTGTGAATGCACCTCACCTAATTGTCATTCTCCCTACCTAACTTGTCATTCCCCCTTTCCTTGTTGTCATTCTCCCTTACCCAGTTGTTAACAATTATTGTCCCAATTAAAATTTTCAACCACTGAACACCATGATAGAAGCATTAAAAAAGGAAATGACCATTGAAATTAGCATTTACAAAGTGTAATATCCAAAATTATAGCTTTTACAAAGGTGATGACACTGTATAATTAGGTAAGTACAGCCACGGTATATTTTCAGAGCAAGAACATTTACAAAGTGCAATTTCACAATTAGCTCTACTCTGATTTTATCCTAAATGATATGCATAGCTTGAGTAGCCCTTTTATCTTCTCTTCTTGTCCTTGTGGGGTCTTGATAACATAGACATCACAGTAGGTTCCTTCTCATTGTTGCAATGATTGACAAGCCACCATAATAATTCGACCTTTATTTGTCGAAAGTCATCCTGCAAGAATAAAAGAGTCATGGGTTTACAGTTTCGCAAGTTTTAACCAAGTAGTTCATAAGACATTCGTACGTCTAAGTATTCTAGCATCACATAATTATCGTCATCCAAGTAAGTGTTGTCCCACGACTGTAACCATGTAATGATGTGTACACCATACAAATGACTACAATCAAAATTTATGATAAAAGTACTAAATCAGACAACTCAATAAAATCCACAGCACATTCAAACATAAGCTAAACCCATCAACTAAATAACACTCACGTATCCTTCTGCACTCAAACTTTAGGCCAAATTACATCTAGCTTCGTGTCATAGCTAAATAAATCTGGTTTAACAGCCAGGATCATTTGGTGAAAGCAGTCCCTCTACATAAAATTTAACAATGTCTATGAACAACTATGCATAAGGAAATGACAAGTCAATATGAAGTGACTGACAAGTATAGACATACATAAGCTTGTGCTAGCTTTTCGTTCACATCCGCTTGTCCTGTTTTTTTCCTCTTCTTCCCAGTAGGCTTCTTGCCCTTTTTAATATTCTCATCCTCTTTCTTTCTTTGCTCATACTAAGAAATACTCACCAATGAATCCAAGACATAAAAGTTCTTTGTTTTGGTCTCAAACACATAACACCACCAATAGCCAACAAATAGGGCAGGATCAAAGATGAAGTCACAATCTCCAATATTATATCCCAAATACTCAGGTAGTATCTCTCTGCTGTTGTCAACAATAGTCCAAGGCCAAGGGTTGTTTACCATTTTTTCCATAAACTTTGAACCAAAAATGTGCCTCCTAACTTTGCCTCTATTCTCTTTTTGATCTCCAACCAATGTCCTGACAACCATTGTCATAAACTGAAATTGGCAAAATAGAATCACAAGAGTAGTAAGTTAATATTCATACAGTGGCAAAATTATTTCATTGACTACAAATTTCATACCCTATCGCTGATCTATCTGGTTCCACTAAGACATTGAATCTCAGTATGATTTAGGAAATATCCATACATCTATACAAAGGTCCTGTTGAAGAAAAGAAAAACCATTTGATTAACAAAAAAGTTTAGGTGGTGTGTTTTTTGATCAAGTGTGATGACTTACCTCCTTTCCTCGTCTTCATCACACGATGTTGTGCACATCTGAAATAAACGCTCCTTCTCATCTATTTTCCTCCTCTGACTAGGTCTGACCCAAGGAGACTTCACGATAGGTCTTTTGTACCTTTATGATCTCCTATATTCTCTTACTTCTACAATCTGTAGCTGTCTAATCCCTTCTGCAGTTTCTTTTTTTTACTTCATCTTCATGTGTACTTAACTCTCCCACTTCCCACTTCGCTTCTTCCCCTCCTTCATCCATGCTCTCATGTACACAAGTTGTTTACTCTCTTTCTTCTTCTGCTTCTTTCTCTTCTCCTTCATCCCCATCCCGTTCAAATTTTTCATCATCTTTCTCTTTACCCAGTTCAACATTCTCCTCAACTCCTTGCTCATCTCCTTCTTTACCTTCTTTGGAGCTTTTCTTATTAGCCTCTTTGTCCTTTCCTTCACCTTCTTCATCCTCATTAGCCTCTTCTGAATTATCCTCATCAACTTTCTATTCCTCTTCTTCGTCATCCTCTTCAGAATCCTTATGTGCTTTTTCTTCTATTCCATCACCCTCTCCTTCTGTCTTGTCAACATTTTTTGAATCTTGTATAAGCTTCATTTGTAGGTTTACCGGCTCCTCACTAAGTGTAAAGACTACTCTTACATACATCTTCCTTATTTCCTACAAAACAAATGATGTGTCAGTATGGAAAAATTGGTAAATGAATGCAAGATGCCTTGTTATACATACTAGGTGACTAAAAGCACATGTTGGATAAAACTTGGTGGAAGAACTACCATCTGTACTCATGGGATCATGCAATATACCCCGGATGCTCTTCTTCTCTACCTTTATCCTTTTGACAACCTTCTCCTTATCCCAATATGCAAGGACATTATCAAGCTTAGGTGCTTATTCTTGGCCAAGAGAAAAATACTGGAAGCAATAAACCTACATAAACTTTTACACATTACTTTAAAAATATAATGATCCATATTTTATCAAGTTGTAAATTACAACCACACACTTACCATGAGAAAATAGATGCATCCTCCAACATTTTTCCTTCCAGTTGTCTTCCATTTATTGAGTTGTTACTTCTACATGTCCACTTCATTGCATAGTTCAGTCAACATATACGTTGCCCAATCGTATTTACCAATTCCTTTACATGTTTCTTGTATAATCTTCAAAACACGATTACTAACCCTTACACTTGCTGTTGGACATAGCAAAGTTCCTAAAGTATACATTAGAAACAACAACTCGAACTACACATCCTCTTTTCCGGATGTTATCATTTTTAAAATATTCTTGTAGGGAATTCTGAAGTAAGTTTCCTTCAATTTATTGAATGATTTGTCATTGATATCTACTTCTTCAGTTATCTCCTTGCCTTTACTCTTTATACCCAATAAATTTTGTACATCCTTTGCATTTATTTTTCTTACTTTCCTTCTAATGCATATTTTTTGGGTTGGAGGGTCAAGTGCTTGCATAAACTCTCCACAGATATCTCTGTGTATTTTCTTACATCATATGCTCAGCAGTTTGTCAAAGCCAATCTTCTCACACCTTTTCCTTAATTTGTCCTTTCCCCTAACATATTTTGCAACCTCTGAAAACTGATTGGGAGAGTAACGAGTGTGAAAAGGTACAATATATTTTGCAGCTGTCTCTCCTCTCTTTTCCTTTACTTTCTTTGAGTATTCCTCCTTCTTGCTGGTGACACTTGTCCCATGCTTTTGTCAAATCTCCTTGTCCTTTGCCAATTGATTTATATTTCCCCTTATTCTTCTTGTAGAATTCTTCTACAAACTTTGCATAACCAAAAATATTAGCCTTCCTTTCTCCCTTCATCTACAATCAATTGAAAATTCACACAGTTTAATATTAGTG